TCTAGCTACTAACTAACCAAAGGAAATTGACCTATTGGCCAAGTTTGATCGTCACGACTGCTAACCAATGTTAGTCAAGAAATGTCGATAATGTTGAGAATAGAGTTCTACTCAGTTATTTTCAAAATCAAATCAGGTTAATCAATTTGATAGGAATAATCGCGAATCAATTTGATTACATTAAAAATTTGAAATGTTAAATAGTAAAAATAAATTAAACACCAATCAAATCGCCTCAAGTTTTTCAACTACCGATTGAACTTCGGTTCATTTTCTTGATCCTTAACACTTTACTTTTTTCAAGTCGATTCTTATTTCCTAGATCGATTATTAAAACACAAGTTTTTTTAATTACGACTAAAAGGGAAAACATATCAGAATGATCAAGGAACACACCCAAGGAAAGAATATAAACGAAGAAGTCCTTTTCCTATCAAATCTTTACAACTTCATTCCACCCCCTTTAGTCCTTTTACTTTTCTTTTTTGTGGGGTGGCGGTGGCCAACATCTTTTTTTATATTTGTTTGTGATTCTTTCCATCAGCAGCAAGATATAGTGCTGATATGCACCTGGAAGTAAAGGATAATTAATTTATGGTTGACTTATAAATCAAATTTACACGTCGTATTTCCTACGGTTTATTGAAGATGCGACAGAATAATGAAAGAACATTATATTACGAATTTTGTCAATTGTTGTATCCAATTCAATGTATCAAATGTATTGTTGTTCTTTAAGCACCATTATATCTAATTAGTTGATTTGCAAATATTCGAGAACTGAATACCGAAACACATATTGAAAAGAGGTCGATTTTAATCTTTGCTTGACTAATATTTTTTCACTCTGCAGTGATTCAAAATAAACTTATACAAGTCTCTGATCTAATTAACATCTATGAATTGTAACAAGATAATAATAGATATACAAGTCATATCAATCTCTAAAAGAGATGATACTTTAAATCATTGATTAAAATTGTCTCAGAACAAATTTTAACCAACTAAATAAAGTTTTAATAAGTTGCAAATATGATGATAATTTGCTCAAGTTGCATTTTAAAGAGCTATAAAAATATCATACATTTCAAACCTTAGGGTCCGTTTGATTGTTAGGATGTAATTTGAGTGGAAAGAAAACGAATTCTAGTGAATTGAATTGCCTAGAACCTTTTTTATTTTTGGAAATTTTCAATTAATGTGTTTGATTGGTATAATTTTTCATCTAAAAAATATTGAATTTTTTTATCTTTTAGTGTTTATTTAACTTTATTTTTCATGAAAATTGTCAATTAAAGGATAAAATTTGTTCCCGTTGCTAAAAAAAAAAAGCTGGAAAACCAATTTTCACTGTTTTGGTGAGAATTGATTTTCCACCAAATCATGGAAAATGCACGTGTGGGGAAAAGATGAAAAACGAATTCCATGAAAAATATTTGCTATCAAACACACAAAATTGATGAAAAAAATTCATGAAAAAAGGGCCAATCAGACATGCGCTAAGTCTAATTGGAAATAAATATTTAGACCTCTTTCTCTCTCTTCATTTACATGATTAATTTGTATATATTGTTCTTTATAAAATACTTGTCAATTCGAGATAGATGACTGGCATATTTAATTGAAGTCGATGGACAAAAACTTTACGCAATTCTATTTTGTAATTATGTCTAATCTTAAATAATGTAGCATGTTACATGCATCACAAAGGTACAGTATATTTTGAATGAAACAACATTGTGCGTTTTATTTTATCGCAAGACCAAGTAAACAATTAACATTATTAATTGTAACACTATAAATTATAAATATGTAATTCGTCATTTGATGTCTCTAAAAGACTTTATACTTTAAATCAATGATTAAAATCGACCAAATCCAATTTTCCAACCAATCAAACAAATTACTTGTTTAATAAGTTGCGGATATGAAAATAATCGGCTCAAGTTGGATTTTTTAAAAGTTCCGTCAATGTGTCTTAAGTTTCGAACCCTAAAGTCTAATTGAAAATAATTATTTAATCCTCCCTCTCTCCATAAATACTATTATTGAAATAAATTTTTTCTATATAAAATATTCATAAGTTCGAAATATATGATCAGCATGCTAAATTGAATATGATTATAAATAGACTTCAAACGATTTTATTTTAATTAAATATAACGTGTTACACATATCCCGAAGTGTCGAGTATGCTGAATGGGACAACATATTACATTTTATTATATTGTAAGATGCACCAATAAAAGAGTAAATGACCTAACAAGAGGCAATTGAATAATTTGCATTACAGACATTAGGAATCAAACATAATCTCTCTCTCATGATCTCACTTTCAATGTCCAATAAATAGTTAACATTAACATTATATGAAATTGATACGATGGTCCGCATGATAAAAATTTGCTATTACTGATGTGACAAAGATAACCACGAGAACCATAAGATTCTTTTGCCACATCAGCATTAGAAGTTGTTATCGTGCACACAAGGGACAGAAAATATAAGTTACTATTTTTTATTTTTGGACTTATTTTTTCTACAGATAAAGTCTTTTTCGAGCCCCATTTTTTAGAACTCATTTTTTTCTCAAAATCATTTTTCGTTACACATTATTTCAATAAATTAAATTCGTACGTAAACTCAAATTTTCTCACTTTCTAACTATACAATCTTTGTAAAAATTACTTTTTATAAAATCTATTTTCAAAAAATGAGACAAAACAAGTACAGATTGATGTCTTTCTTTAGTATTATTATATTTTTATGATATTTATTGTAGCATAAACAAATTTTACCGATCTTATATTTTTATATATTTGTTAAGTCGATATAGTTGGCATTCTTATGATTATTTATTTATTTATTTATTTATTGTGCTTTTCTCAAATTTTGTATCAGTTTTATTTAACCAATATTATTTGTAATTATATATGTACAGCTGTTATAGAAAATTTCCAAGAAAATATCTCAAGAATCATAATCACACCCTCTTTTATTTATTTCGCATTAATTAACTGCATTACGGCTGTCTTTATTGTTCAATTAAAGTTTAGGTAAGAGTTATTTGTCATTTGTCTTTAATATCTAAGTCAAGACTTAAAACTTTCGATATCCTTTGGTTGTTTTAAAAAATTATTAATGAAAATTAGATTTGTTTTTTTAAAAAAATATTAAAAAAAAATAAAAAATTTTTTTTTTTTTTTTTTTTTTTTTTTTTTCTCTCTCTCTCAATACGATTCGAATACATTCTTCGTGAAACAATAAGTCTTGACTCTCAATTTTAGGCATTTTTAGAAATTAACAAGTTTTGTTCGCATTCTTCGATTATTTCAATATGTCCAACGACCTTAGTGATGGGAAAATAAGTTATTCTAATTTCCTTTTCTCTTAAAAGAAGTAAAAGGATACCCATAAACAACATGCCAAACAAGGTGGAACAAATATTTACTTCAATCCACGAGGAGAAACATCTCAGTAGGCACAGAACTAGATGCATCCTTCTTGACTTTTTCTCAAGTAGATTGGAAAATAATTCCTCACTTTTTTTCCACCAATAAAAACTGTCAACTTGGCATACCCTCATGCCTCACAATTCATTTCTCAATATAAAGGCATCAACTTGATCTTTGAAACTGTATTCTGCTTATGAGTAGTGTAATCCAAGTTAAGAATCTTGTAACACTACTCAAGAGAATCAGGTGAAGTGTAGCATCTTATTTCATTTCTTTTCAGCTTTTACTTCCTGGAACATACGTAGTTTTTTTGTTCCAAATTCCAATAGGGATTTCATTTTTTTTTCCCCAGTGTTCGTGCATAGAGATGATGGAGAAACTACTCGAAACGTTGTGTGGAAAGAGTCGAGAGGAGCCGAGGAGTATTGGCTGTGGAAAGAAGATTAAAGGCAGAGTAGTATTGAAGAAAAAGAATGTTATGGACTCGACAGATATATGGGCTTCGCTTCTTGATCGAATTCATGAGCTCTTTGGCAAAGGTGTTTCACTGCAGCTCATCAGTGCTGTTCACGGTGACTCCTGTTCCTCTTCTTCTTCTTTCCCCTTCTCGTCTCTCGTAAATTTTCTTCAAGTTTCTTGAACCAGCTATTGAACAATAATGAAGAAATGTGGATGACTAAAAAAGAACACAAATCAAGAACACCCATATGAACTATTGCATATGGCTCCAGCAATTAGTCTTTTATCTTATCAAATTCATGGGTTTCAATTTTATAGCAAATGGATCAAGAGGGAAACTGGGAAAACCAGCATTCTTGGAGAATTGGATCTCGAGGCTTACATCACTGTCGGCCGAGGATGACGTTACATTTGACGTTAATTTCGATTGGAAAGAGTCTCTAGGAGTTCCTGGTGCTTTCATTGTCAGAAACCATCACCATAGCCAGTTTTACATCAAGACAGTCACCTTGGAAGATGTTCCGGGACACGGCCAACTCCATTTTGTCTGCAATTCTTGGGTTTATCCTGCACATCGTTATAAGTACGATCGTGTCTTCTTCGTAAACAAGGTACGCCAACGCCAAGCATATATAGCCTGAAAAATTAAATAAAAATAAAAATAAAAACTCAGTGGTAATTTATGAAAGTTGAAGAAAAACCAAACGATATGATTTCTTTCGATCATTCAAGAAATGATTTGGATCATGACTGCAGAAAGCACTTGTCCGATCATATCATTAAATTCTCAATAACTGAAAGTAAATTTATCAGATTTGTATGTGCTGTGTCAAAATCTTATCCTATTATTCTTTACTACAATGTTGAACTTTTTCCAGACATTTTATTTTCTTTCTGATTACTATGTTAACTACTCATAGAACAATTAACAAAGCTCAGTAGTTACATAATTATTTTATCTTGTAGAGTAATCTCCAAACAAGTAATTAGAAAATTTAGTTCATTCTAAGATTGACTAAAACAAATATCAGTCACTGAATTCCGATAATCTTGTTATTGTATAATCAGACATACCTGCCAGGTGATACGCCCGAACCACTACGCCTATATAGGGAAGAAGAGCTCATCAATCTTCGTGGCGATGGGTCGGGCATGCTAAAAGAATGGGACAGAGTCTATGACTATGCATTCTACAATGACTTGGGAAGTCCTGAAGAGGGATCAGACTATGCACGCCCCGTGCTTGGTGGATCAAAGGAATATCCGTACCCACGTAGAGGAAGAACAGGTCGTCGACCAAATAAAAAAGGTCAAGAGAAACAAACTTCTATGTTCAAAATCAATAAATATTGAGGTATCATATTAAGCACTTCCTTAAAACTATTTCTGCAATTGAATTTACAGATCCTATGTCAGAAAGTCGATTGCCTCTCTTAAGTTTAAACATTTATGTTCCACGAGATGAGCGTTTCAACCAAGTGAAGTTCTCAGATTTCATTGCTTATGCTCTTAAATCCCTGGGTCAGGTATTGCTTCCAGAGATAAAATCCATAACTGACAAAACATTTAAAGAGTTCGATACATTCCAAGATGTACTTGACCTGTATGATGGTGGGGTTAAGCTACCTGATGGCCACAATCTTACGAAACTTAAGCAATGCGTCTCTTGGGAATTGCTCCATGAACTTCTTCGTTCAGATGGTGAGAAATTCCTGAAATTCCCAATGCCTGATGTTATCAGAGGTAATAAAATGATTTTGCATAGATTACAAATTTTACAATTAAATGATGCTTTTATTAAGTCGATCACAATAATTACGAGGCCTTTTACTGGGACGTTTTCAGAGGATAAGACTGCGTGGAGAACAGACATAGAGTTCGGACGAGAAATGCTAGCTGGAGTGAATCCTGTTGTTATTCGACGCCTAGAGGTGAAAGAACTGTATTCCTAAGTTTTCTATAAAATATTTCTGTTTTCTGATATAAAATGTTCATTAATTTTGTAACAGGAGTTTCCCCCAACTAGTAAGCTAGACCCTGAAATATATGGCAACCAAAACAGTTCAATCACAAGGGAGCACATCGAGAAAAACATGAATGGGATAAGAATATATGAGGTATCTATCTATTTTACCTGTTTTACACAGATTAAGATTCACGATAAGTTATTGATCTCATTACTTGTTTTATGCAAGAAAAGGCAATTGAGCAGAATAAGATGTTCATACTAGATCATCATGATGCACTTATGCCGTACCTTGAACGGATAAACAAGGACACAAACACAAGGACATATGCTACTCGAACTCTCCTTTTACTACAAGATGATGGGACATTGAAGCCGTTGGCAATTGAATTGAGCTTACCAAATTTCGAGAATAAAGAACAGGGTGCCATTAGTCGAGTATTTACTCCTGCAGAGCATGGAATCGAAGGTTCAATTTGGCAGCTGGCCAAAGCTTATGCTGCTATAAATGATTCGGGATATCATCAAATGATCAGCCATTGGTACACTTGCAAAAGAAAGAAGTTGAACTAATAGTAATGGTAGGAAGTTCTATACAAATGTAAATAACTACATTAATTTTGAATGCAGGCTGAACACCCATGCAGTGATAGAGCCATTTATCATTGCAACGAACAGGCAATTGAGCGTGCTTCACCCGATATACAAGCTGCTGCATCCCCATTTCCGTGATACAATGAACATAAACGCTTTGGCTAGGCAGATCCTCATCAATGCAGGTGGGATACTCGAGACAACAGTATTCCCGGGAAGATATTCGATGGAAATGTCTTCTGTCATCTATAAGAGCTGGAACTTTACAGAGCAGGCACTCCCTGCAGATCTTCTCAAAAGGTAAGCCAGAACGCTGTAAAATCAGTTTATCATTGAATTTTCCCATCTAAAAGCTTAAGCCATTACAAAGGTAAAACATTTATGTATTTAGGTTTAATCTTCAGCAACCTGATGTTCATTGTCTAGTTGATGATATTTGCTCCAATGCAGAGGAGTGGCAGTTCCTGATCCAAGCCAACCCAATGGCCTCAGACTCCTAATAGAAGATTATCCTTACGCAGTCGATGGGCTTGAAATATGGTCGGCAATTAAAGATTGGGTTGAAGAGTATTGTTCATTCTATTACCACTCCGATGACATCATTCAAGGCGATTCGGAACTCCAGTCCTGGTGGAAGGAGCTTCTTGAGGAGGGCCATGGGGACTTAAAAGACAAACCATGGTGGCCTAAGATGCAGACAAGAGATGATCTCATGGAGACATGTACAATCATAATTTGGGTAGCTACTGCTCTTCACGCAGCAGTCAACTTCGGACAATATCCATATGCTGGCTACCTTCCAAATCGACCAACTCTCAGCCGCCGATTGATGCCTGAACAGGACACTCCTGAGTATGCTGAGCTGGAGTCAAACGCTGATGCGGCCATCCTGAAAACGATTACACCCCAGTTCCAAACCCTTCTTGGCATTTCTCTAATAGAAATATTATCCAGGCATTCCACAGATGAAATTTATCTAGGACAGAGAGACACTCCCGAGTGGACAGCAGATATTATACCAAAACAGGCATTTATGCGGTTTAGTAACAAACTGGTGGATATTGAACAAAGGATAATGTCGAGGAACTCCGACAAGAGATTAAAGAATCGAGTTGGGCCTGTAAATGTTCCCTACACCTTGTTATATCCCAATACCTCAGATTACAGTAGAAATGGAGGACTTACTGGCAAGGGTGTTCCCAACAGCATTTCAATATGAAATCTTGTGAAGTAAAGGAGTAGAAATTTTTCTTAAATCCCTTAACCGTCAGAAGTTGTGTTTAACTTAAGCAGAGGATTAATGACTCGTTTAATAGTAATTATTGTTCAAATGACAGGTTTAGAAGTGAACTCAATTTGATCACACAGTATGCTGACTCTGCGTTTCAATCCACTTCACCAAAGATATTGTTAATTTGTTTCCTTTATTTCTGTGAATTTACCAATAAGAAATGGTTTTGCTTATCACAACCCTCATCGATTAAAACTTAATTCGAATCAGTAGACAAATTGGTAACACATAAAGTTCATACTATGCCGAACAAACGTCTTTGCAAGACACTTACATGACACAACTTTTGATAAAAGTGATAGCATATTTAAATATTTAAATAAAAGTTCATAAAACGTGAGATGGAAAAAAAAAAGTTAAAATTTTGGATCTTATAAAATGTGTGGCTAAACATAAAGTTTGATTTTTGTCAAGCACTAATTGAATTTTGCTGATACTATTACATTTTTAACCTGAAAATTTTGGACACCAACTAGTCCATCACTTCCAAGTATTCAAGCTCCCCAATTGAATTGAAGGACAAAATTGACAAATTCGCCCTACATTATCCAGTACAGTATCTACGATTGACCAAAAGACACGTGGCAAGACAAGACAGGGCTTGATCAGTAAGCTGAGACTGCGTATCAAAACCACACTTTGCCATTGGTCCAACCCCTATCACCTTATCCTACACTCAAATTTTCCTCCACACAAAAAATAAAAAATAAAAAATAAATAAATAGACCTTTTCTTCATCAAATTTTATTCTGGAACAAACCACAAATCCTACCAATTACAACACAAAATTCTCTAAATTCTTCCCCATGGCTATGGCAACCCAAGCCTCCATCTTTCCGGCCACGATCTCCGCTGCAAAATCTGGTGATCGTATGTCGGTATTGTGGAAGCAATCTTCCCTTGCATCATTCCCTAGTCCTAGGTCACTAAAGACATCCACCGTTGCATACCGCCCCATTCGAGCCATGGCGGAGGAGGCACCCGCCACGAAAGAGGTAGAGAAGGAGGCTCCGGTGGGCTTCACCCCGCCAGAATTGGATCCTAACACACCATCACCAATCTTTGGTGGCAGCACGGGCGGCCTATTGCGCAAGGCTCAGGTGGAAGAATTCTACGTCATCACATGGGACTCGCCTAAGGAACAAATTTTCGAGATGCCCACCGGTGGAGCCGCCATAATGAGGCAGGGCCCAAATCTATTGAAATTGGCTAGGAAAGAGCAGTGTTTGGCACTTGGGACTAGGCTAAGGTCCAAGTACAAGATTAAGTACCAATTTTATAGGGTGTTCCCTAATGGAGAGGTACAATATTTGCACCCCAAGGATGGTGTCTACCCGGAAAAGGTTAACCCTGGCCGCCAAGGAGTTGGCCTGAATATGCGATCCATTGGTAAAAATAC